CAAGAGACATCTCGGTATGTCATTAATAGTGCAGAAACTCTAAGCCAGGGACATTTTTGTCTTTATAATTAATTTGAGACAGCAGCTAATAAAAACCAGAATAATAACACTAATAACCTTCAAATTAATTTTGACCCTAACCTATAGCAATTTCAACAGAAGTTGGTATATTTACATACCAAATTAAAATTCCTAAACTAATATTACAATTGATGCAGTGTTTTTATGAAATACTACCTGTATAATATTTCATTAAAATAATAAAATGAGAACAATATAGAAATGTCAAAAATATTTGTGTCCTAGAAAGGATTTAGAGGGAATTTCTGGTAGTATAAATTAATACATGATTAATCATATTACTTTTATTTATAAAGCATCCAAACATACACATCTGTAATCTTATATGTCTTTACCCTCAAGAGAAATATATTCCAGAATTAATTTTAAAAACACTGCTTTTACTGTGCTTATGTTTTCTAGTTGAGAAGTCTGGGCTTTAAGCATTTTTAAATTATAGAACTAATCAGAACACAGGAGGAAACCAACAATACAACTGATGGCATTTGTTAATATAAACCTTTGTGTAAAAATGTTATGAAACTGGGCTTCCTTGGTGGCGCAGTGGTTGAGAGTCCGCCTGCCGATGCAGGGCACACGGGTTCATGCCCTGGTCCAGGAAGATCCCATATGGCACGGAGCGGCTAGGCCCGTGAGCTATGGCCGCTGAGCCTGCGCGTCCAGAGCCTGTGCTCCGCAATGGGAGAGGCCACAGCAGTGAGAGGCCCGCGTACCGCAAAAAAAAAAAAAAAAAATTATGAAATAAGAATGGAAAAAGAATAGAATTATTAATAAACAAATGGCTATTTGGAAAAAATCTAGTTAATAGTATACTACCTGGGTTATTCTCTTACTTGAAAAAATTACAGTATATTAGGTTGTCCTAATTTGGAACTATGTAACTGCCACTCTCATGTTTCTAGTTTTACTAGAATTGTGCATTTTTTTGGTATAAACGTAAGGAAGAAAAAAAAAAAACCTGGAAAGTTCCATAGTGCAGTTTCCTTCCTCCCTTTCCCCAACAGAAAAAATAAGAAATACTGTACCTAACCAACAGATCTGATGATTCCAAAATGGACAAGTCTCTATTCTGAAATACTATTCAAGTCAGAACATTCCAAATTAGGATTTCATGAGACACTGGAAAATTATGGCATGAAAAATAGAAGACTATTTCTAATACACTATAAAATGTATTCCTCAAAGCAAAAGAGCTAATGGAAGGCCAGAGCGCTTAATGGATAAAATATAATCAAATGAAACAGAAGCATGTTCCAAGCTGAAAGGCAACAATATCACTATTCTCACATAATTGGATAGTAGTTATAACCCAGTAAGATCAGGTTTAAAAACATTTAAATATATATAAATACTCATATGTATAAATAACATATATAGTGCCTGAAGTAAATACATATTCGTATTCATATATTAAAGAATCACTTTGAAATTTAAAAAAAAATTAACTATCAAAAAATAAACAGCTAGTGAAAAAATAAGTTTTCTTTGCAAAACTTGACTCTGGAAACAAAGATTCTTCAAATGCTTCTCCAAGAACTTGTCTGTTTATTTTAAATATAATCAAATAAAAAAAATAAATAAATAAATATAATCAAATATTTGAAATAGAAGGCAAATATTCATGAAAACAGACATATATACATGCATATATAT